AAATCAACACGCATAAATCAAAGGCATTCCTGTATATCAGCGACAAATCCTCTGAAATGGAAATGAGGACAACCACTCCATTCAAAATATCTTAAAAAAAAAATAAAATACTTGGGAATCAACCTAACAAAAAGGTGAAAGACTTATACAATGAAAACTACAGAACCCTAAAGAGAGAAATAGGAGAAGATCTTAGAAGATGGAAAAATATACCCTGTTCATGGATAGGCAGAACTAACATCATCAAAATGGCGATATTACCAAAAGTTCTCTATAGGTTTAATGCAATGCCAATCAAAATCCCAACGGCATTTCTTGTAGAAATAGAGAAAGCAATCATGAAATTCATATGGAAAAATAAAAGACCCAGAATAGCAAAAACAATGCTAAGCAGGAAGTGTGAATCAGGCGGTATAGCCATACCAGACTTCAAACTATACTACAGAGCAATAGTAACAAAAACAGCATGGTACTGGTACCAAAACAGGCGGGTGGACCAATGGTACAGAATAGAGGACACAGAAACCAATCCACAAAACTACAACTACCTTATATTTGATAAAGGGGCTAAAAGCATGCAATGGAGGAAGGATAGCATCTTCAACAAATGGTGCTGGGAAAACTGGAAATCCATATGCAACAAAATGAAACTGAATCCCTTTCTCTCGCCATGCACAAAAGTTAATTCAAAATGGATCAAGGAGCTTGATATCAAATCAGAGACACGCCGTCTGATAGAAGAAAAAGTTGGCTACGATCTACATACTGTGGGGTCGGGCTCCAAATTCCTCAATAGGACACCCATAGCACAAAAGTTAATAACTAGAATCAACAAATGGGACTTACTCAAACTAAAAAGTTTTTTCTCAGCAAAAGAAACAATAAGAGAGGTAAATAGGGAGCCTACACCCTGGGAACAAATCTTTACTCCTCACACTTCAGATAGAGCCCTAATATCCAGAGTATACAAAGAACTCAAAAAATTAGACAATAAGAGAACAAACAACCCAATCAACAAATGGGCCAAGGACCTGAACAGACACTTCTCAGAGGAGGACATACAGTCAATCAACAAGTACATGAAAAAATGCTCAACATCTCTAGCTGTCAGAGAAATGCAAATCAAAACCACCCTAAGATACCATCTCACTCCAGTAAGATTGGCAGCCATTAGGAAGTCAAACAACAACAAGTGCTGGCGAGGATGTGGGGAAAAGGGTACACTTGTACACTGCTGGTGGGACTGCAGATTGGTGCAGCCAATTTGGAAAGCAGTATGGAGATTTCTTGGAAAGCTGGGAATGGAGCCACCATTTGACCCAGCTATTCCCCTTCTTGGTCTATTCCCTAAAGACCTAAAAAGAGCATGCTACAGGGACACTGCTACATCGATGTTCATAGCAGCACAGTTCACAATAGCAAGACTGTGGAACCAACCTAGATGCCCTTCAATAGACGAATGGATAAAAAAAATGTGGCATTTATACACAATGGAGTATTACTCTGCATTAAAAAATGACAAAATCATAGAATTTGCAGGGAAATGGATGGCATTAGAGCAGATTATGCTAAGTGAAGCTAGCCAATCCCTAAAAAACAAATGCCAAATGTCTTCTTTGATATAAGGAGAGTAACTAAGAACAGAGTAGGGACGAAGAGCATGAGAAGAAGATTAACATTAAACAGGGATGAGAGGTGGGAGGGAAAAGGAGAGAATAGGGAAATTGCATGGAAATGGAAGGAGACCCTCAGGGTTATACAAAATTTCATACAAGAGGAAGTGAGGGGAACGGGAAAATAATACAAGGGGGAGAAATGAATGACAGTAGACGGGGTAGAGAGAGAAGAGGGGAGGGGAGGGGAGGGGAGGGGTGATAGTAGAGGATAGGAAAGGCAGCAGAATACAACAGACACTAGTATGGCAATATGTAAATCAATGGATGTGTAACGGATGTGATTCTGCAATCTGTATATGGGGTAAAAATGGGAGTTCATAACCCACTTGAATCAAAGTGTGAAATATGATATATCAAGAACTATGTAATGTTTTGAACAACCAACAATAAAAATTTTAAAAAAAAGATTTTCTGTTTGGTTCTGTTTCAGAATCTCTATCTCTTTATTGAAGTGATCTTTCACTTCTTGGTATTTTCTGATTTCACTGCTTATGTCATCTTTTATCTCATAGAACAGTTTACCTCTGAACTTTCTCAATTCCTTCTCTGACATTTCCTCTGCTGTGGTGTCAACAGTCTGTTGTTGAGGCATTCTGGGTTGTTTGGGATGGTTTAGTCCCTTGCTTTTTTCTGTTGTTTGTATGTCTACTCTTCTATCAGTATAGTTCTGGCTTCTTCTTTTAAGTGAAGGACTACTTTGTGAATTAATTTTTTTAATTCAATGTGGGACCTCTTCTACTCCCCACTTTAAGAGATGCCACTGAGCCCTATTTACTATAATGACTTCTGAGCCATGCCTCATTCTACTCAACCTTATAAGATCAAAAACTTGCTGCAATTGTTCTCTATGGTCCTCAATTTCAGGCATAAACCTATAATAAAATTCTGGAACAGGTTAAAATATTAGTTGTTAAATTTGGTAAACTTATTATAACCTTAAGTGAGGACTAAAAGGAGAGAGCATGAAAGATTAGGGGGTGAGAGAGAGAGAGAGAGAGAATGAGAATGAATAAAAGGGTAATTTACATGAAGGTTGAAAGCAGAAATAGATGAATGGATGTTATTTGAGGTAGTACCAGATAGTACAAGTATAGTGGGTAAGAGAAGCAGGTATAAACTAGAACTAGGAACACAAATATAGGTAGATTGATTCCAATTGATGTTTTAAACCATTAGATGGAATACATTCAAATGGGTTGAGGGTACAATGTTGGCTATTGGGTTAACAATTATCATTCGAGTTAAGTTATTTATATAATCAAAATATTTTAGAGTACTTTATAGCATACCATGTCAAGGTGAAGAAAATTCTTGTTGAATCTGGTTTGGACATTTAGCAGATGTCCATCAGTCTTTAACTATGGATCTCTTCTGAGTTGCAGGGGCACAAGAGCCAGTTCCCTAGTTGCTATAAACCTCCTACCAGCAGCTTCTGGTTTGTCAGCTCAGGGGCCTGAACCTCACTGCTCAGAGAGTATAGTGTTGTGGATTGGCTGATTCTGTTGTGTGTAATAGTTTATAATTCAGCTTCTGAAGTGCCCCTGTGTGTGTTGTGGGTACCTATTCTCCTCTACTGGATCCTTTTTGCAGAAGTGAAGATCCTGGTGGCTGTCTGTGAACATAGAAACTCTGGTTGTGGATTTTCTGTGAATGATCTGTGGTACAGAGGTATTACCCTGGCTGATGTTGCTCTCTGAGGTACTGTCTGAAGGGTTTCCAGTGGTTCACTTGGATTCTCATTTCTGCTGCCCTGGGCTGTGAATGGCAGGAATTGATTCTCTATGTTTTCTAAATCTGATGCAAGGTCCTACATGTATCCACAGTGCCTCCCCACGTTGTCAGTGACTGAGGCCTGGTGAATCTATTTTCCTTTTTGGGAGGCCAAAGATGCTTCATTGTTGTCTTAGTCAAGCAACGGAGTGAATGCTATGTAGGGAGGGAAAGAGGGTGGGGGTTTCTGCAATTTATGGCTAGTAGTGGTCCTTATAGAAGTTCTTTCTGGATGGATTTATAAGAGGTCCCACTGCAGGGGGCTTCCCTCTGCTTTAATTTGCAGCTGTCTGGGCATGGGAAGTCACCATGCTGATTTAAGAACTTAGCTGGTTGCAGATTCCCAGCTCTTTACACAATTTGGTTTTAAGCTATTTGTACTGTTTAAGAAGCCTTCTATATTACCATTGCAGTTTAAATTTGGTCTTTTCAACAGTTTTTAAGTGAGTGAGCTTAAAAGAATGTCCACTCCCCACCCTTTCTCTCTCTGGTGCCCTTCAGTTTCGGTTCAAGTTCTGAGTTTTTTATCTACTCTGGTAACCTATCTTCCAGTTCCTTCAGGTCTCAAACTTTGTAATGATGATACTTAGAGGATTTATTTTGCCACCTACCTCTCAATTCTGCTTTTCCTTTACTGCCTCCTTTCTGTGTTGTGATAAGATCAGGACTCACTGCCTAGCTCACTTCTGCCATCTTCCTTCACCTCCACAACCTTATACATTTAATATCCTTAAAGCATGTTTTTATTGTGCTCTTTTCTTGTAAGAACTCATAACCTTGATCTGACATAAACATTGGAAAAATACAAGTCTCTGATTCATTCTTTAAGTTTATGTATAAAGCCTTTAATCTCATATAAATATATTTTTTGTATGTTCGGTTTTATGTTTTCACTCTATCAACATTTTTTTTCAGTTGTAGACTTCCTGTCTTTCTTAGATCTCCTTACCACAATATAGCAAAATTCATTTTTTCCACACTTTAACCTTATACTTTTGTCACTTTATGTAAGGTCTTTACTGTATATCAAGTGTATTTGTGTATAAAATATAAGGTAGAGATTTAATTTCTTTTCTTCCATACAAACATTCCCTTAAAAATGTTCCTCATAGAAACAGCCAACTTTTCCCTTTCTCCCTTTTTTACCCCGTATTCATTGTCTACTTAAATTCTCATCTACTTTTCTGAATATCTATATATAGTTATAAGTGTAGGTAAATACATTTGGAAAAAGTTGAGACACAAATATAATTTTTAAAATAAATTTATAAATTTATCACCTTCTATGTGTTCAGTACCATACCACATACTATTAGCAATACAGAAACATAAGACATATTGCATATCCTCAGAGAGTTCCTATTATATTAAGAACATTGGTCTACTGTACAGGAAACAAAATTATACGAGATATCAGAGAAAAATGATTGCTTCTGTTACAGCATATAGGACAAACTAATATTGTGCATATTCAGAAGAATCAAGTAATTGTAGAAATATGAGAAAGTATCAATGACCACTGCTTCCTAATAAATTTTATTTTTGTTTTCTCAGTGGAATCATATCTGATCTTTTTCCTGGAGTCCAAATTCCAGAACATGACTATGGTATTTTGCAATCAACAATTGTGGATGTCATGAATGGAAAAAACCTTCAGCCTGAAATCTGTATGGTTGAAAAAGTGATACAGTTCTATGAAACTATGCTTGTGAGGCATGGTGTTATGTTAGTTGGGCCAACAGGAGGTGGCAAGACCACAGTTTACCAAATACTAGCAGAAACTTTAGGGAATTTACAAAAACTTGATTTAGGCAATCCTTTTTATCAAGCAGTTAAAACGTATGTTCTTAATCCTAAATCAATCACCATGGGTGAATTATATGGTGAAGTTAATAACATAACCTTGGAATGGAAAGATGGTTTGATGGCACTAAGTGTCCGAGCAGCTGTGAATGATACTTCAGAAGACCATAAATGGATCATCAGTGATGGACCAGTGGATGCTCTTTGGATTGAAAACTTAAATACAGTATTGGATGATAACAAGATGCTTTGCCTGGCTAACAGTGAAAGGATTAAACTCACACCTCAGATCCACATGCTCTTTGAGGTAAATGTATGACTTACTGTGGAATGAAATCATTCCTTAAAATTGGCATGCCATCATTAATTTTTTTACTGATGTATCATTTACCATCTGTGCTATTTTGTTTACTTAATAAGTACTTATTAAATTATCCTTTTGAAATAGTTGCCAATCCTGAAAAAGCTTCTTAAATGTTCCTGTCTCTATAAATGGGAAATAGAATTAATTCTGGTTTTCCTAGCACTTGGTTTCTTTGAAATTTTTCCTCATTAAACAATGTTATTTTATATGAATAAATTATCCTACTGTGGTATGAATGTTTGGCAAGAAATTAGAGAAAGGATGTGGGACCAAATACTGCTACAAAATATGGAAGAGACCACTCAAGGTCTAGTCATTCATTAATTACTGATTAAATGTCCACTGTGTACTATGAATTTGGCTAGCTATTGGGACACAAGAATGAGAAAAGTAAAGAGAAGAAAAGAAAAATGAACAAATGCCTATTCCTTCTGATATTTTTTTTCCTATACTGGGGATTGAACCCAGGGATGCTTTACTACTGAGCTACACCACCAGCTCTTTTTTTTTTCCTTCTCTGAGACAGGACCTCACTAAATTGCCCAAACTGGTTTTGAACTTGTAATCCTCCTGCCTCAGCCTCCTGAATTGCTGGGATTACAGGTGTGTGCCACTACACCCAGCTCCTGCCCATAAGGATTTGACAATGTCCTCCTACACTCATTTTTTTTACCCTATGCCTCACTTACATTTGCTTCTCCATTTCGTATTACTTATTGCCCTCCCACTGTCCTCCACATGAAGCCTTTTGGTGTTAAACTTTAAAAGGTCTGAATCACTACCACTGAAATTGGATGAATAAGAAAGTATAATTAGCTATTTCCTGTTCAACTTTTTTCAATTTTAGGTGCAAGATCTAAAGGTTGCCTCTCCTGCAACAGTCAGTCGATGTGGAATGGTGTTTGTGGATCCCGAAGAACTAAAATGGATGCCTTATGTTAAAACATGGATGAAGCGGGTTTCTAAAAAGGTAAGTGCAATCAAATGTGCAACCAGATATTTCCCAGTATCTTCATCTGTTGGGGCTCACACTTCCCCAGAGTGTACAAATAGCAGTAGGTTATAGCAGCATTGTTCTCAGTTGAGGAAATTTTATTTTGTCCTTCTCCCTAAGAATTCCTGGGTCTTCCAGGAATGTTTATATACTCCCCAAGTCTTTCCTCATTACCTGTTACCTCAGCCTGCCAGCCTGCAGAGTCACTCTGCTTCCAGTCTGCTCTTCCTGGCTTCTTCTTAGACTGGTTTCTGACAGTAGAAACACAAGCCACTTCCTGAGTCCCTAAAAATACAGATAGAATAAGGCTGAACCATGGAAAGGCTTTGCAGAAGGCACAAGGGTAAAAAGAGGAAATCACTATGAATAAAAAGAACTGTTAAATACAAACACTAACTGGATTTTATATTTTAGGAACCCCCAACACCTCTGAGAGCCAGAAAGGAAAGAAAAGTTTCCACCCTTGTCATAGGTGCAAGACCCATGACACATTCTGACCTCAGATTTATAGTTCCACTCCAAATGAAGGAAATCCTATACATTATTATCCAAAACAACTCAGTTCCATGCTAGCCTCTGAATTTCCTGCATTCTAAAATAGGATTTTTTCTTTACCTTAACAACATTTTAACATTTATAATAATTCTCACTATCCCATTACTTCTCCAAGGGAACAATCTTCTTCTCTGCCTCTCCCACTCCAAAGATGAATTAGAGCAAGAGAAAGAAGAGAAAGGAAAGAGAAAGAGATAAGGGGGATGGGGATAAATGAGGAGATGGACCAGAGGGAACTATCTTTCTCCATTGCAATGGCCTTTGCTCTTTGTCAAAAATAAGTTGACCATATTTGTACAGGCATCTTTCTGAGCTCTATTCTGTTCCATTGATCTATTTTTTTAATCCTTTTTCCACGTCTTTATAGCTTTATACTAAATCTTGAAGTTGGGTTTTGTCAGAACTTCAGCTTTGTTCTTCAATGTTGTTTTGGTGATTTGGGGGGTTTGCCTTTTTGTATAAACTTTAGAATCAGTTTTTCAGTATCTATAAAGAAATTTGCTAGGAATTTGATTGTTGAATTTATAGGTGAAATTTAGAGAAACTGACATCTTAACACTAATCTTCCTAGATATGAACATGGTTTATCTGTTCATTTATTTAGGTCTCTTTGGCTTCTTTTATCAGAGCACTGTAGTTTTTCTCATGTAGATCTAGTACATGTTTTATTGGATTTAAAGTTATTTCATTTTTAATGCTAATATATAATCATGTTATATTTTTTATTTCAAATTCCACATATTTTTCATTTATACTTGACTTCTTTATATTAACCTATATCGGGCAAACTTACTATCATTATTGGTTCCAGTTTTGTTTTGTCATTTGGGGGTAGATTTTATATATAGACAATCATGACATCTGTGAACAAAGTGTTTTACTTCTTTCTTTCCAATCTGTATGACTTTTATTTCCTTTTATTGCTCTATTGCATTAGCTAGGGCTTCTAGTTGAATAAGACTGTTAAGGGGGCTGAATTCATTTTTAAATCTTTGGAAATTATTCCTTTTTGCCTGACAGGGAGATACTTAAATGATATCTTCTGTGTTTCTTCTTTTTTAATTGTTTTTAATTATAAAAGGTTGTCAGTAAAGAAGAGTGCATGAAATATGTATTGGCAGTTTAAGAAATAATTATAAAATGAACACCTCTGTACCCATTATCAAACCAAGAAGTAGAATGTTTTCAACTCTCCAGTAATTCTTTCCTGTGTTCCTTCCTAATCATATAAGGTTCCCTTAAAATTTGTTTCATACTTTATGATGCTTATATCCTCGGGTCTGAAGGTTACTGAATGCATTGAATATATGGATTTTAGCCAACTCCTTTCTAAACATAATGATATGTTTCATCTGATTTTGTTAAACTTTTATTCATTTGTTTCATTTTTAGCTGAATGAGGAAGCCCAAGAATATATATTGAACCTTTTCCAACGTTATGTTGATGAAGGTTTACATTTTATCAACAAAAAGTGCACCCAAGCAATCCCACAAGTGGACATCAGCAAAGTTACTACCCTCTGTTGCTTATTAGAGTCTTTGATATTGGGAAAAGATGGAATTAACTTGACAATGGTATGAAGGGTTTTCTTACTGTTGTGAAGCTAAGAAAATGAAATATTGTATAGATTCTTTGCAAATAATTAACTCTAAATTTTCTGAAATATAGGTCATTGATTTTCAAGTTAATTTTTCAGAGAAGTAATGACTATTATTAGTTTCATAGAAGCTCAAAGTTAGAAGAAATGTTAGAGGTCCTATAGTTTAGTCCTCTACTCAATTTTCAATTCACATGTAGTGTACAACATAGTCTCAATCTGCTTAAATAACTTTATGCATGCATTTAGAAAAGTTATAATAGGCAGCTAAAAGACAACTTTGAGCTGTTTTTCCTACATATGCCTTTTCATTCATTGTCTCTTCAATATTTAATTATGTAGATAAGAAAATTCCATTTTGTGAGCCATTAAACATATGTGGTACAACTTAAGATTTTTCTTATGTTTATGAAATATTAAAACTATTTTCTTTATTTTTTAGGAACAAGTGAAATTGAACACTGTGCTATGCCAGACATTTGTATTCTGTTACTTATGGTCTTTGGGTGGAAACCTAAATGAAAATCATTGGGATTCTTTTGATACATTTATCAGAACACAATTTGATGATAACCCTGATGCCAGAGTAAGAATTTTTGATATTTATTTTTTAGTTATCGGCAGACACAACATCTTTGTTTGTATGTGGTGCTGAGAATCGAACCCGGGCCGCACGCATGCCAGGCGAGTGCGCTACCACTTGAGCCACATCCCCAGCCCTATTTTTTTTATTTTTTAATTTGCTCTAATTAGTTATACATGACAGTAGAATGCATTTTAACATATTGTATACAAATGGAGCATAACTTCTCCTTCCTCTGGCTGAACATTGTGTAGAGTCACACCAATGGTGTAAACATACATGTATATCGGGTAATAATGTCCATCTCATTCCACCATCCTTCCCATCCCCATACTCCATCCCTTCCCCTCACTCCCCTTTGTACAATCCAAAGTTCCTTTATTTTCCCCACCCCTGCCCATTGTGGAGTAGCATTCACTTACCAGAGAAAACATTTAGGCTTTGGGTTTGGGCATTTGGCTTATTTTACTTAGAATGATATTCTCCAGCTCAATCCATTTACCTGTAAATGCCATAATTTCATCTTCTTTAAGGGTGAGTAATATTCAGTTATGCATATGTACCACAATTTTCTTTATCCAGTCATCTGTTAAAGGGCATTTAATTGGTTTAGCTATTGTGAATTGAGTTGCTATAATCATTGATGTAGCTGCATTACTATAGTATGCTGACTTTAAGTCCTTTGGGTACAAACCAAGGAGTAGGATAGCTGGGTCAAATAGTGGTTCTATTCCAAGTTTTCTAAGGAATCTCCATACTCCTTTCCAGAGTGGTTGCACCAATTTTCAGTCCCACCAGCAATCTAAGAGTGTCCCTTTTCTCCCACATCCTCACCAACACTTACTGTTGCTTGTATTCTTGATAATTGCTATTCTGACTGGAGTCAGATGAAATCTTAGTTTTGATTTGCATTTCTCTAATTGCTAGAGATGTTAAACATTTTTTCATATGTTTGTTGATTAATTGTATTTCTTCTTCTGTGCAATGTCTGTTCAGTTCCTTAGCCCATTTGTTGATTGGGTTATTTGTTTTTTTAGTATTAAGTTTTTTGAGTTCTTTATACATGCTGGAGATTAGTGCTCTATCTGATGTGCTTGTGGTAGATTTTCTTCCATTCTTTAGGCTCTCTCTTCATGTTATTGATTGTTTCTTTTGCTGAGAAGAAGCTTTTTAGTTTGAATCCATCCCATTTATTGAGTCTTGCTTTTACTCTTGCCCTTTAAGAGTCTGGTTAAGGAAGTCAGTTCCTAAGCCATCATGGTGGAGATTTGGTCCTACTTTTCCCTTTATTGGGCACAGGGACTCTGTTCTAGTGCCTAAGTCTTTGATCCACTTTGAGTTCATTTTAATGCAGGGTGAGAGATAAAGGTTTAATTTCATTTTTCTACATATGGATTTCCAGTTTTCCTAGCTCCATTTGTTGAATAGGCTATTCTTTCTCTAATGTATCTTTTTTTGGTGCCTTTGTCTAGTATCAGATAACAGTATTTATGTGGGTTTGTGTCTGTGTCTTCTATTCTGTACCATTGGTCTACATGTATATTCTGGTGCCAATTACTATGCCATTTTTGCTATTATTGCTCTGTAGTATACTTTAAGGTCTGATATATTGTGATGCCTCCTATTTGCTAATGAATGCTTTGGCTAATCTGGGTCTCTTATTTTTCCAAATGATGGACACTACTGAAATGCAGAAATTAATTAGAAACTATTGAAAATTTATACTCCAATAAAGCAGACAATCTCAAAGACATCAACATATTTCTAGAGACATATGAACTACCCAAACTTAATCAAGAGGGAATACACAATTTAAATAGATCAATTTCAAGCAATGAAATAGAAGATACTATCAAAAGCTTACCAACCAAGAAAAGCCAAGGACCAGACAGATTATCAGCCAGGTTCTACAAGACCTTTAAAGAAGAATTAACACCAGTACTCCTCAAATTATTCCATGAAATAGATAAGGAGGGAACCCTTCCACACTCATTCTATAAGGCTAATATCACCCTGATACCCAAACCACACAAAGACACATCAAAGAAAGAAAACTTCAGACCAATATCCCTGATAAACATAGATTTGAAAATTCCCAATAAAATCCTGGCAAATCACATATTAAAATATATTAAAAGATAATGCACCAGGATCAAATGGGGTTCATCCCAGGGATGCAAGGTTGGTTCAATATAAAAAAAAAATCAATAAACATAATTCATCACATCAATAGATTTAAAGACAAGAATCATATGATCATCTCAATAAATGCAGAAAAAAAGTGTTTGACAAAATACAGCACCTCTTCATGTTCAAAACACTAGAAAAAACAGGGAGAGTAGGAACACACCAAGCCGAGCATCATTTTAAATGGAAAAAATTGAAAGCATTCCCTCTAAAAACTGGAACAAGACAGGGATGCCCTCTTTCACAATTTCTATTCAACATAGTCCTGGAAACTCTAGCCAGAGTAAACAGACAAAAGAAATTAAAGGAATACAAATAGGAAAAGAAGAACTCAAATTATCACTATTTGCTGACAACATGATTCTAAATTTAGAAATCCAAAAAAATTTCACCAGAAAACTCCTAGAGCTAATAAATGAATTCAGCAAAGTATCAGGATATAAAATCAACACCTATAAGTCAAATGCATTTTTATACATCAGTGATGAATCCACTGAAAGAGAAATTATGAAAACTATCCCATTCACAATAGTCTCAAAAAAAAAATACTAGGATTTTTTTTTTGAGAGAGAGAGAGAATTTTTAAATATTTATATCTTTATTTTTTTTAGTTTTTGGTAGACACAACATCTTTATTTTATTTTTATGTGGTGCTGAGGATCAAACCTAGTGCCCCATGTGTGCCAGGTGAGCGTGCCACCGCTTGAGCCACATTCCCAGCCCCTAAGATTTTTTAATTCATTTTTTCAACCATAGATAACATTTTATTGTATTTTTTAAAAATTTAGAAGTCCTTTTTCGTTATAAAGAAATTAAGGTGTGGAGTCCATTAAAACTCTTTACAATAGATGAATATTAAATTCTAGCTTGTAAATTTATTTTACTAATTTTTAGACTTGTATTTTCAGCACAGTATTCCATAAATTGCATGAGATGGTCGATAATTAATGTAAACTGGTTTTGATTTGCACTTCTCTAATTGCTAGAGATGATGAACATTTTTTAATATATTTGTTGATTGATTGTATATCCTCTTCTGAGAAGTGTCTGTTCAGGTCCTTGGCCCATTTATTGATTGGGTTATTTGCTTTTTTTAGTGCTTAGCTTTTTGAGTTATTTATTTATTCTAGAGTTTAGGCTCTATCTGATGTGTGAGGGGTAAAAATTTGCCCCTCGGGATGTAGGCTCTCTGTCACCTCTCAGATTGTTTCTTTTGCTGAGTAGAAACTTTGTAGTTTGATTCCATCCCGTTTATTGATTCTTGGTTTTAATTCTTACACTATAGGAGTCTTATTAAGGATGTTGGGGCCTAATCCCACATGATGAAAATTAAAGCCTACTTTTTCTTCTATTAGACACAGAGTCTCTGGTTTAATTCCTAGGTCTTTGATCCATTTTGAGTTAAGTTTTGTGTATGGTGAGAGATAAAAGTTTAATTTCATTTTGTTACAGATGGATTTCCAGTTTTCCCAGCACCATTTGTTGAAGAGGCTATCTTTTCTCCAATGCATATTTTTGGTGCCTTTGTCTACTATAAGATAATTGTGGGCTGGGGATATGGCTCAGGCGGTAGCGCGCTCGCCTGGCATGCGTGCGGCCCGGGTTCGATCCTCAGCACCACATACAAACAAAGATGTTGTGTCCGCCGAAAACTACAAAATAAATATTTAATAATTCTCTCTCTCTCTCTCTCTCTCTCTCTCTCTCTCTCTTTAAAAAAAAATAATTGTAATTTTGTGGGTTAGTCTCTGTGTCCTCTATTCTGTACCATTGGTCTACCAGTCTGTTTTGGTGCCAATAGCATGCTGTTTTTGTTACTATTGCTCTGTAATATAGTTTAAGGTCTGGTATAGTGATGCCACCTGCTTCACTCTTCCTGAGAAGGATTGTTTTAGCTATTCTGGGTCTCTTATTTTTCCAGATGAATTTCATTATTGCTTTTCTATTTCTATGAGGAATGCCATTGGATTTTGATCGAAATTACATTAAATCTGTATAGTGCTTTTGGTAGTATGGTCATTTTGATAATATTAATTCTGCCTATCCAAAAGCAAGGTAGATCTTTCCATCTTCCACGGGAAGCAGTATGGAAATTCCTTGGAAATCTGGAAATGGAACCACCAGTTGACCCAGCTATCCCTCTTCTCAGTCTATACCCAAAGGACTTAAAAAGAGCATACTACAGGGACACAGCCACATCAATGTTTATAGCAGTACAATTCACAATAGCTAAACTGTGGAGCCAACCTAGATGCCCTTCAGTAGATGAATGGATTAAAAAAATGCAGCTTATATACACAATGGAATTTTACTCAGCATTAAAAGAGAATAAAATCATGGCATTTGCAGGTAAATGGATGGTGTTGGAGAAGATAATGCTAAGTGAAGTTTGCCAATCCCAAAAATCCAAATGCCAAATGTTTCCTCTGATATAAGGAGGCTGACTCATAGTGGGGTAGGGAGGCGGGAGCATGGAAGAAATAGATGAATTCTAGATAGGGAAGAGGGGTGGGAGGGAAAGGGAGGGGGCAGAGGATTAGCAATGATGGTGGAATGTGATGGACATCATTATCCAAAGTACATTTATGAAGACATGAATTGGGTGTCAACATACTTTATATACAAACAGAGATATGAAAAATTGTGGTATATATGTGTAATAAGAATTGTAATGCAAAAAATAAAAATAAAAATAAACAGGCTTTTGTTAGATTGTTTTGCCCAACAATAGACTAATGTAAGTGTTCTGAGCATGTTTAAGGTAAGCCAAGCTATAGGGTTCAATAAGTTAGGTTTATTAAAAGCATTTTTGAACT